ATGGATAAACCTTACATGATTAAGTTATTAAATTAAATTTGCCTTAATCTCACCAAAAACAGGTTGTAGCTAATTGTTTTGTAGCTGAGAGCCTCTGTGCAGTTTTCAACGAAACAAAATTTGATATAATTCAAAATTTCAAATGGTAAAGAAGAGACTATCGTCCAAAATTATAGTGCTATACTGTGCCTGCTACAATAAATTCATAATAATGCTTATAAAATGGAAATAAATTCTTTTAATAATTTAAGAAAATTAGTGGGATCAGTGGAATCACTGCAATGAATATGCCTGAGTTCATATATTTGTTCTTAGGAACAGAATAGCTTCAGTCGGAGTCGGAGTCGGAGTCTGGACAATTTTACCGACTCCGACTCCGACTCCACAAGCCGAAATTTCCTCCGACTCCTCGACTCCGACTCCGACTCCACAGCCCTGGGTACCAGGACACAACATCACTAGGGGGGAGGGGGGTTTAAACTGCAATCGTAGCCAAATAAACCGATCTCTGGAAACACGTACTCTGAAATTATATGCGTTCAACACACTATATCGTCTAGGCCAATGAGAGGTCGGAGCTCGTCCCATGAACTATTTACAATGGGGGGGTGAGAGGGGGAGGATGAAGCTGTCGTCACATCTGAAAATAGCTCCAGCAGTCGTGAATAAATGAGGGTGGTGGCTGGGTGTGTCGACGGAGGTGAGTTAAATGCGCCTCTTACCTGTATGGAAATAGTAATTTTTTTTGTATGCGTCACTGGTTTATTCCCCCCATCTCCCTCCCACCCTCCCTCTTCCATCTCCTTCCCCTTTTCTCCTTCCTTTCCCCCTCTCTCTCATCTCCCTCTCTTTCCCCTTTCCTCTCACCCTCTCTCCTACCCCCTTCTCGTTCCCTGTCCCAATGCAAGAATGCAAGATGAATATAAACTATCCCAGAGTTACCCACAATAAACTTGGCTTTGGCAGGTTAGGTACAAACTACGTATTTCCGAGCCACGTAGTTTAGGTTAGAGATATAAACTACGTATTTCAGAACTAAATAAATCTTGATAAAAAAAAAAAAAAAAAAAACTTACCTATACAAACCAAAATTCCCTCACCAAATGACGTCATCCTGGACACAATCCGACCAATCAGACGCCAGGATATATATATATATATATATATATATATATATATATATATATATATATATATATATATATATATATATATATATATATAAGGAAAAGAAGCCAACAATGGCGCTATTCACGTCTAAGGGATTACGTAAAAACTACACCCTATTGAAGACTACATATTTATTTACATTTTTTTTACGATAATTCCCACTAAAAGTTAAAAAAATAGGCATACACATTTACGGATATATAATAAAGGTAAAAAAAAGGTAAATACACCGTAAACAAAAACGCAGAGGGGATGTTATAAATGGTAGAAGGGTGAAGGGTGAAGGGTTGACTCGAGGCTGGAACAGGGGATCTGATCTGGGATAAGAGGATCCAATCAGACGCTGTGTCACGGGATCCGAAGCTTCTTATTCGCCCACCTGTTTTACTTATATTTTTTGTTGGTATTATTATTATTATTATTATTATTATTATTCCTGTATAGGAGCTGAGTCGGTTTTCTGTCTGTCTTTCTGTCTGTTTGGGATTTTAAGACGGGGATTAACAGTGTGAGACGGGTAAGTTTTAATACCGAGTGATTAAAAAAGTATATAGGCATGGTAGGATGTAAAAGTATAGATGTGAGAGTGTATGAGAGTATAGGTATAGATGTGTATATAAAAAGTATAGGTATAAACGTATGTAAAAGTATGCAGTATGTGGAACAGGTAATAACACCATTTGATCTATACTCTCTCTCTCTCTCTCTCTCTCTCTCTCTCTCTCTCTCTCTCTCTCTCTCTCTCTCTCTCTCTCTCTCTCTCTCTCCTGTTCCTGTTTCCTCTTCTCTTCTTTCCCCTCCTCTTCCTTCCTTTATCATTTCTTTGAATCCTCCTCCTCCCCCTCTGCGATTCCTTCTACCTTTCTTCTCTACCCACTTCCCCCTTTCTCTCTTCCACTCTCCTTCCTCTCTTCTCCTCCCCTCTCTGCACCCTTTTCACCCCTCCCCCCCTCTCTTCCTCTTCTCCCTCTCCCACTCCTCTTCCCATTCTACCCTTCTCCTCTTCCCTATTCCTCCTCCTATCCTCTCTTCTCCTTCCTACTCCTCCTACACCCCTATCCCCTCCCCCTCCCCTCTCCCCCCCTACCCCTCTCCCGCGTCACCAGACAGAGGGGTAGTGGCATCAGGATACCACTAAGCCACTAACTAAGCCACTTACTTCCTCCCGATTGCGTCACGCACTTCCTCCCGATTGCGTCCCTCACTTGTAATTATCACCCTGTTACTAATGAGTGACAGACCGAGTGACGCTGGTGAGTGAGGGACGAGGTGGCTGATAACTGGCCGTATATATGTAGGTAGAACAGGTATACATGTGTGTGTGTGTGTGTGATTCTGTGTAGGTGACGTGTGTATATGATATGGTATTTGTATGTATGTATGTGTGTATGTATGTATGTATGTAACAACACCTTCTGGTATATACAATAATAAAAAAACACCCAGTTTATTATTTTGTTTATTGATCTACAAGTTTATTTTAACAAAGAGTAAACAACAGACAGGTTAATTACACAGGGACTCCGTAGTAGAGGTGTTAACTAAGTCAGCATGTATATAATAATGCACCTTTTGTGAGCATGTGTGTTGGTCTTTATACGGTGGGTAACTTTGAGCCTGTATGTATGTGTGTATGTATGTATGTGTGTATGTATGTATGTGTGTATGTATGTGTGTATGTATGTATGTGTGTATGTATGTATGTGTGTATGTGTGTATGTATGTATGTATGTATGTATGTGTGTATGTATGTATGTATGTATGTATGTATGTGACTGACAACACCACAGACACACACACCAACATACAGTGCAGTAAGCATCACCAGTAAAGACTCTCCACTGTTACGATAAGTCAACAAAAAAAACTATAAAAAATATTATTATTATTATTATTATTATTATTATTATTATTATTATTATTTATTATTGTTATTATTAAACATACAAACAAGAAACACTTAAATAACTGATAAATAAGTCGACTAATAAATTAATTTATCTCCCGTGGCAGGAAGATAATGCAATGCCACATGATCCATACATACTTTGATACGTGTCATGATACATATTTTGATACGTGTCATGATACATACTTTGATACATATCTTGATACAAATCTTGAAACATAGTTTGATACATATTTTGATACATATATTGAACCTGACATGACCTGACCTGACCTGTGACTGCTACCAACAAGCCACAGAATAAATTGCAAAGCCTAAACAGCCACCAAATTTGCAACAAGACTAAAAATAACAATAATATATAATTGCAAGAACTGCTAGTTTTGTTACAGTTGCAATAACAACCTAAACACTTGCAACAATAGCTATAATCTTTGCAACAATAGCTATAACCTTTGCAACAATAGCTATAACTTGCAACAATAGCTATAACCTTTGCAACAATAGCTATAACCTTTGCAACAATAGCTATAACCTTTGCAACAATAGCTATAATCTTTGCAACAATAGCTATAATCTTTGCAACAATAGCTATAACCTTTGCAGTAATATATATAACCTTTGCAACAATAGCTATAATCTTTGCAACAATAGCTATAATCTTTGCAACAATAGCTATAACCTTTGCAGTAATATATATAACCTTTGCAACAACAGCTATAACCTTTGCAACAGCTATAACCTTTGCAACAACAGCTATCACCTTTGCAACAGCTATAACCTTTGCAACAATAGCTATAACCTTTGCAACAATAATTGTAATAACTACTGAATTTTTGCAACGCCAGAGTTTTTTTTTTTTTTTTTTTCATACACGAGCCAAACTTTTCTCAACAAATCAGGTACTACATAAAAGTATACAAAAGTTTTAAAGCATTTTTTTATCATAGTTAAAGTTTATAGTGTTTAAAAATAAAAGGATCTACACATACTGTAGACATACACACGCTGTAAAACGTACATAGTTTTTTTTAGTCACATACAAACGTGTGTAAACTTGCACTTGTGTACGCTCATAAATGTACATGCACAAAAAACACGTACAAACACATACTACACATTAGAATACATATTCATACACATAATGTATTAATATACAAACACGCACATATATTACACAGGTACACATACACAGGTACACATACACGCTCGTACAAACACATGCAAACACAGACATAAAACCAATACACATGAAACGTATTACAAGGAGAAACAAAAACAAAAAGAGTGAGACATTATACTCAACACACACACACACACACACACACACACACACACACACACACACACACACACACACACACACACACGGAATTATCATCAAATATGTGTGAGGAGAAAATCGGAAAAGGTCAGACGTCTTGTGGTTGAGTATAGAAAGTGAACAACCCATGAATCGTACAGTAGCGAGGGGGGGAGGGGGTGATGGGGGAGGGTAGATGGGGGTGGGTGGTGGGTGGGAGGGGAGAGGGGATGGGGTGGAAGGGGAGGGGGAAGGGGTAGATTGAGGAGAGAAAGGGGAGAGGATAAGTGATTGAATGGGGGTGATGGGATGGCGAGTTATAATGAGGACTGGCTGGAGAGGAATCCTCCCTGAACCATTCCTCTCTCCCTTCCCTCCCTGAACCATCCCTCTCTCTCCCTTCCCTCCCTGAACCATCCCTCCCTGAACCATCCCCCTCTCCCTTCCCTCCCTGAACCATCCAACCAGTTAGCGACTTCCTGGATTATTCAACCCCGGGGCGAGGTGTGACGTCAAGCAGTCCCCACGCTGGGAATTGGCACCGCGGATGGCTCTCTCTGGTGTCACTCTCTGTTTACCTGCGCGTTATTCCATTATATTTACCTCTCTCTCTCTCTCTCTCTCTCTCTCTCTCTCTCTCTCTCTCTCTCTCTCTCTCTCTCTCTCTCTCTCTCTCTCTCTCATTCTTTGCAATATCCTTATGTTAAGGTTAGAAATCCTTGCAATATCCTTCAATCCACTTCCTTGCTGGGTCATTACCGTCTTGAGCCAGGGCCAAAGATCCTTCAAAACGGCCTTCCTTCTGCTGCTGCTACTTCAGGATGTAGTTGGGTCGTATAGATGAAGGAGGGGAAGAGGCTGAAGGGGGGTGATCAGTAGGTGTAGTTAATCCGACTGCCGTAGATGAAGGGGCTGTCCTTGCTGTTAAGACGGTCTGGATCTCTGGGGCCCTGTGAAGTAGTGAAGGTTAGTGTTGGGGCCATATTGTAAAGTGGTAAGTGTTAAATATAAGTGTGGAGCCATATTGTAAAGTGGTAAGTGTTAAATATAAGTGTTGGTTCATATTGTAAAGTTATTATTATTATTATTGTTGTTGTTGTTGTTTATATAAGTGGTTGTAATAGTAAACAGCTGTAGTAGTGGTAGTAAACAAATGAATCGGGTGGTCGTGTTACCTTGATGACGTCAGAGAGGACAGCGTGGGCGGTGCGACACCTGTTGCCAAGTGCCCTCGTCATCGTCTCCCCCGCCACCACCAGTTCAGCATCCAGCGCCGTCACCAAGCTGTCCATCATCGTCACCTGAAACAACACAACACGTCACCTGGATTGTCTTATTCTCGTCACCTGGGCTATCGTCGTCACCTGTCTTATCGTCGTCACCTGGGCTATCGTCGTCACCTAGCTGTCTTATGATCGTCACCTGAAACAACACAACACGTCACCTGGATTGTCTTATCGTCGTCACCTGGGCTATCGTCGTCACCTAGCTGTCTTATGATCGTCACCTGAGCTATCGGCGTCACCTGTCTTTATCCTTGTCACCTAAAACAACACAACACGTCACCTGGGCTGCCTTATCTTATCCTCGTTACCTGGCCTGGCCTCTTCACCTGTTCTCGGTACGTGTTGTTTAGTGATTACTTTGGGTTTGTTCTTTTACCTTTTGTTTACCTGTGTTGATTGCCTCTATACCTGCCCTCTTGTTACACCTCCACACCTACTCTCTAGCCCACCTCCACCACACCTGTCCTATCCTACCTCCACACCTGTCCTAACCCACCTTTATACCTATCCTACTCAACCTCTACACCTGTCCTCCTACCCAACCCCTCCACCTATCCTATAACCCACCCCCACCACACCTGTACCTAACCCACCTTCACACCTGTCCTAGCCCACCTCCTCCACACCTGTACTACCTCACCTCCACACCTGTCCTACCTCACCTCCACCCACACGCCACCAAAATGAACCACGTCAAACACCCGCCTTTGAATTATTAATACATGACTCGATTCAGATCTCATAACCAAGCCAGAACTAACCGCTTAATCCAGTGCCCTTACCCTCCTCTCTCTCCTCCTCTCCTCTCTCTCCTCCTCTCCTCTCTCTCCTCCTCTCCTCTCTCTCTCCTCCTCTCCTCTCTCTCCTCCTCTCCTCTCCCCCTCACACGACTACTACTACTACCACCACCTCCCCACCAACACAATCACCACTACCACCACCACTATCACCACCACCCATACCACTACTACTACCATTACCACCACTCATACCACCACTACTACCATTACCACCGACAAGAGGGACAGCATCAAGCCTAGTTAAATGCTCCTCTCTCTCTCTCTCTCTCTCTCTCTCTCTCTCTCTCTCTCTCTCTCTCTCTCTCTCTCTCTCTCTCTCTCTCTCTCTCTCTCTCTCTCTCTCTCTCTCTCTCTCTCTCTCTCTCTCTCTCTCTCTCTCAATAATATTCACCATTCTCTTCTCCTACGCTGTACGAGTATAGTCATATGCATATCATCATTCAAGTACCAACTACCTCTCAACTACCTCCCAACTACCTCCCAACTACCTCTCAACTACCTCTCAACTACCTCCCAACTACCTCCCAACTACCTCTCAACTACCTCCCAACTACCTCCCAACTACCTCTCAACTACCTCTCAACTACCTCTCAACTGCCTCTCAACTACCTCTCAACTGCCTCTCATATTAGGGATCTTTTTTAATGTTGCAGTGTCATAGACGGGTCATTTACCCCTCGATGGCGGCGTGTCTATACGTGATGGAGAGGGCGTGTGTAGTGGTCGGGGTCTCTGTGGGGGGTGTGGGAGGGATTTGTCATGGGGCGTGGAGAGGTTTTAAGCCTAACCTAACCTATCCTATCCTATCCTATCAATATCAATACCTATCCCAACCTCACCTCACCTGAACCCCCCAAAACACAGGTCAATTGTAACTCACCGTATCCATGATGTACTTCCTAACCATCTTGATCCTGGCGAGCCCGTTCGCCTGGCGCACCAACTGATCACACAGGGAGTCGGCACACACGTCGAAGGTGCTGAAGTGCCTCGCCTGCCGATAGAACTGCTGGAGGGTATCCTGTAGGGGCGTCAAGTTCTGCGTCGTGTCCAACTCGGGATCGTAAACTTCCTGAGGGGGATCCAACACTCGGGCTCCCCTATTATTGGTGTCCGTCTGTTCTTGGGTGTCCTTTACAGAGGTGTCCGCAGCAGGGGCGTCATCGGCGGCCCACACGTGGAGAGTGGACACCAGCGCCACCACCGTCAGTAGTAGTAATCGTTGGGCACCGGACATCTTCTGCTGGGGGAGATAATATTTACACGGTGTTAAGGTCTTGTCTCTCATAGTCCAGCTGTAGGGCACAATAGTGTGGTTTTAGAGGAGGAAGAGGAAAGGGAGGAGGAAGAGGAAAGGGAGGAGGAAGAGGAAAGAGAGGATGAGGAGGAGGAGGAAGATGATGGTGATGGTATTGAAGAGGAAGAGGGATAGTAGCAGTAGAAGGTGAAAATTGATAATGATGATAAAAGACGAAAAAGAGGGAGAAGACTCAGAAGAAGAGTAAGAGGAAAAAGAGCTAGAAGAAGAAGAAGAAGAAGGATGTGGTAGAGTGAGGGAAGCATCTATTTAATCTTGACGTGTATGTGATAGTGAACATCAGGCACGGGTGACTGATGTCGTGGCCTGACTCGTAAAGTTTGGGGGACGAACGTTGGAGTGGGTTGGTGTCTGTCTGCCTTGAGCTCCTAACCTAAGCTGATCTAACCTAACCTAACCTTTCCTGACCCAACCTAACTTAACCTTATTTAACCTAACGTAACGTAATCTAACCTACCCTACCCTAATCTAATTTTTTTTTTACTTAACCTAACTTTACCTGACCTAACTTGACCTAACCTTCCTCTTCCTCCATCTCTCTTCTTCTTTCTCCTCCCCTACCTTTATCCTCTTCCTCCTAGTCCTTCCCCACCTCTCACTTCCTTTCTCTTCCCTCTTCCTCCTTCCCCCTCTTTCCTCTTCCCTGCTCCTCCTCCTCCCCCCAAAAAGGTCAATAGGTATACCACTAAGGGATTTCCACAACCTATGAATATATTATTTTTTTCTGGAATTAATTTTGTTTATTTTACTTTTTATTTTTTTCTATTTGTATTATTTTTTATTTTATGTTATGTATATATTTTTTATTATTTTTTATTATTAATTAATTTTTAGTGATTTTTATTTAGTTATTTATTTTTATTTTTATTTATTATTTTAATATATGAATTAAAAAATATATATATAGATAATAAAGTAAGACATTGGGAAGAGAGAAGTGTGTGTGTGTGTGTGTGTGTGTGTGTGTGTGTGTGTGTGTGTGTGTGTGGCTATGGACGTGTGTGGGGAGGGTGTGTGTGTGTGTGTGTGTGTGTGTGTGTGTGTGTGAGATAACGGGTATGGGTGAGTGGGCGACCAGACAGGGTGGGAGGGAGAGAGTGGGAAGGAGAGAAAGACAGTGGGAGGGAGAGAGTCCACAGAGCAACAACTACTTTCCACCTGCCTTCCCTCCCTACCCCCCTACCACACCTGTACACACTAACTAGCCCTCCTTACATGTCTCATTAACCACCGAGTCCCCCCCCCCTCCTCCTCCTCTCCCCTAAGCACACTCTATCTTAATTACCTCAATATAGATTTTTTTTTACCCTTCGTGTGTGAAGTTCCATCAAAGGTAATGCTGTTGAAGTACACAGTATGCAAATTAGTAATAGATTTTGGCCTGTTTCTGTGTTTTTTTTTGTTTTTTTAGTTTACATTATGTATGCAAATTAGCCATGAGGATCTTGCCGCTTCGTGTGGATAAAATAAAAGGAGCCACAGCTGCTTTAAACTCTACGGGGTAAATTGTATGTAAATTACTCCCAGGCCTTTCCTATACTTGTTGTTAAAAGGAGAATGTCTTATACGATGTGTCCGTTCTAGCAGACAAAGTATATATATGTAAATTAACAGTAAGGTAGTTTAGTTTACTGTTGAAGAAATGTATATGAAGATATTGTTACGAGTGATCAAAGCTGGCGTCATCCACCCCAGCAGTAGGGAGGGAGAGAGGGAAGTTGATTGTGTTGCCTTCACTGAGAAATAGGTCAAGTTTGAAGTTGTCAGACGTGTTCATGTTGCCAGCAGGAGGCGTGTGGGTGGGTTTGGTTGCAGGGGGCGTGTGTGGGTGGGTTTGGTTGTGTTGCCTTCACTGAGAAATAGGTCAAGTTTGAAGTTGTCAGACGTGTTCATGTTGCCAGCAGGAGGCGTGTGGGTGGGTTTGGTTGCAGGGGGCGTGTGTGGGTGGGTTTGGTTGCAGGGGGCGTGTGTGGGGTTGGCTGCAGGGGACGTGTGGTGGGGGTTGGCTGCAGGCGTGGTTGGGGTTGGTTGCAGGGGGCGTGTGGCTTAGCCAGGACACCCCCCAGGACAGCTGCTTGGGCAGGACAGCAGCTTGAGAGGTGACAGCAGCTTGAGAGGTGGACAGCAGCTTGAGAGGTGGACAGCTGCTTGAGGGGTGGACAGCTGCTTGAGGGGGTGGACAGCTGCTTGAGGGTGGACAGTTGCTTGAGGGGTGGGACAGCTGCCAGGGGAGGTGGATAGCTGCCGGGGGGGAGATAATCCCAAAATACACACACTTCTCCCACAAGCATAATGCAAATCCCTACTGAGGTTTAGGATTCAGATGTTGGTCGAGCGGTAACCCAGGGTTTTCAGAGAATGAGATAAAATGATTTGCTGTGAGTTGGGGTAATGGTGTGTGGGAGGATGTGGGCTGTGTGATGTAGAAGGAGGAGGTGATGTGTGGGGAGGGTATGGTGTGTGTGTGTGTGTGTGTGTGTGTGTGTGTGTGTGTGTGTGTGTGTGTGTGTGTGTGTGGTGTGTGTGTGTGTGTGTGTGTGTGTGTGTGTGTGTGTGTGTGTGTGTGTGTGTAGCGTAGAAAGTAAATCCAAAGGGGAGTGAATGAGGCAGTTAGACGAGTTGAGTGTCTTGTAGCGTTACCAGTTAGTGCTGTTGGCTGCCCTACCACACACACACACACACACACACACACACACACACCCAATAAGGATCGTTATTTAAAGTCTTTTTCTGTTTTAACTTGTGTGTCATCTGAGAAGTTTGCCGCCAGTGATGTAACAACCAGCGGTGGGTAAACAAGCTTCATTTAACACCGGGAGGAAGGATGTACTGATAGCTAATTGGTCGAAAAGTCCCCGTACACCTGTAGTAATTAGCAATACCTGCGTTGTTATATATACCTTGTTATACCTACGTTGTTATATATATCCGGTACCGTGTTATACCCGGTACCTTGTTATACCCGGTACCTTGTTATACCCGGTACCTTGTTATACCCGGTACCTTGTTATACCCGGTACCTTGTTATACCCGGTACCTTGTTATACCCGGTACCTTGTTATACCCGGTACCTTGTTATATTGTTCATTATTTATTGTTAGTAGAAGAGGATAATGAACTATATTTTTGAAGTGTTGAAGGTACACGGGGACCCTTCGATCACCTTATGTATACTGTGTGTGTGTGCAGCCACCCCTCTATCGATCACTGCCTGGGTAGAACAACATTCCTACTCCTTGGGGTCTTTGCTCAACTGAGTACGATTTTAATTTATCGCATATATAACGAGGAGAGAGAGAGAGAGAGAGAGAGAGAGAGAGAGAGAGAGAGAGAGAGAGAGAGAGAGAGAGAGAGAGAGAGAGAGAGTCTCCCTATAGCAGGACAGATGAGACAGAGGGAGTGGAGGGAGAGGTCAGTGGTCAGAGTGTGATGATGGTGGTGACGATGGGTGGCCGCGTCTTTGTGACCTTGAGTCTCTTGAACAGATTGGCATAAATGATTTAATTAGTTACATAAGAACCTTTGATACCTGAGGGTTTATATTCTTAATTACAGGTGAGAGAGAGAGAGAGAGAGAGAGAGAGAGAGAGAGAGAGAGAGAGAGAGAGAGAGAGAGAGAGAGAGAGACCTTCAATGGACTTAGGACACGTCTGACACCTGTTGACACCTGTGAGGTATAACAAAAAATAATAATGCTTTGATTAATTAACTCCTGACTGGTGATAATACTAGACCGGTTGTAACGCCTCGACTCTTATGGACCACTTGCCACACTCCGACACTTACACCACCACACCACTTGCCACACCCCGACACTTACACCACCACACCACTTGCCACACCCCGACACTTACACCACCACACCACTTGCCACACCCCGACACTTACGCCACCACACCACTTGCCACATCCTGACACTCTAATTACACCACAATTAATTTGCCACATCCCGAGATTAATTCTAACTACACCACACCACTCTGCCACACCCCTGACACTCTACACCACCACACCACTTGCATACATCTCGACACTTAATTACACCACACCACTTGCCACATCCCGACACTTAATTACACCACACCACTCTGCATCCCTGATACTTACACCACCACACCACTTGCTACACCTGACACCTCTGACACCACACACACCATACTTGCTACACCCTGACACTTACACCCACCACACCACTTGCCACATCCTGACACTTACACCACCACACCACTTGGCACACCCCCTGACACTTACACCACACACCACTTGCCATTGACCTGGACACTTACACCTCACACCACACCACTTGCCACATCTCGACACTTAATTACACCACACCACTTGCCACACCCCGACACTTACACCACCACACCACTTGCCACATCTCGACACTTAATTACACCACACCACTTGCCACATCCCGACATTTACCACACCACACCACTGGCCACATCCCGACATTTACCACACCACACCACTGACCACATCCCACTACAAGTACCTCCCTTAAAAACAACACAAATCAGGTAAACAAAATAATCTATAAACTCCTTGATGCTTTTGTTTATTATTCAGTAAATTCCACCAAAATAGTTACATGAGATAATATAGTGTTAAAGCGCCCCCAGTCACCACAAACTTACTGGTTAATTAGCGCTCTACTGAACAAGCTTGTCTCCTAATCACCTGATCTTACTCTCATGTACTGACTAATCCAGGTGAGTTTTTTTTTTGTGTATATTGTTCAGGTGTCGCTAATGAGTTCAGGTGCCAATGGACTCGGCATACACGTCAATACATACATACATACATACATACATACATACATACATACATACATACACACACACACACACACACACACACACACACACACACACACACACACATTTAGTCTCCTATAACAAATTTATTTTTCCTACGTGTAA